CACGCCCTTTTTCCAAAAGGGCTTAACTCGAAGAACGAAACACGATTTGGGTCATTCGAGTTAAGCCCCGGGGCTTAACTCGAAGTTTGACAAAAAAGTTGTTGCTCGAGTTAAGCCCCGACTTTTGAAGTATGTCAACGAGTGCAATGTTAAATTGTCAAATTTTCAATACAAAAAAGCCAAAGGCAAAGCACAGAAATTTTCCCAAAAAGAACTTGTATATCGCTAATGTAATACGATTATCTAAAACAATCACAACTATTATCGTTAACAATATTTTAGGTTTTTCATATTTAAATTAATATTAAATTTAACAACACTCAACAGGTAATTACTTTTAGTGGATCGTTTATCCACAACAAAACAACAAAACAATATTTTAATTATAAAGTAGATAGAATCCTAACTCGTTTCTTTTGTTTGCATATCGACAAATTAACAGTTTTACTGTAACAAAAAAGGTACAACCTTTCCCATCACCTTGAACAAAACTAATCTATTAAGAAAATGATCGAAAATGACAGCACGTAATAACTAAAGAAAAAGAGAGGAAAGGGAAGGAATTTCGGTATAGAATGATCTGTCTTTGACAACTTGCGCCCAGAGACTCACGCCTCATACGCACATGTACAGTAATTTCATTAGCCAAATGAATGGTTATGAATCACGAATGGTTTCATTTGGGTACAAATTATATCACGGGGAGAAATTGTTACATTTGAGTAAAATACCCAAATGTAACAATTTATCCCCGTAATAATGGCGCTACGTCACCATTTCGTTTATAAAATTACTAATCGCTCAGCAAATATTCCTTTTTTAATAATACAAGTCAACGTAGCGCCATTATTAGGGGGATAAATTGTTACATTTGGGTATTTTACTCAAATGTAACAATTTTTCCCCGTGATAATTTGTTTACCCAAATGAAACAATTCGTGATTCGTAACCATTTGGCTAATAAAATTACTGTACATGTGCGTATGAGGCGTGAGTTTCTGGGCGCAAGTTGTCAAAGACAGATCATTCTATACCGAAATTCCTTCCCTTTCCTCCCTTTTTCTTTAGTTTTTACGTGCTGTCATTTTCGGTCATTTTCTTAATAGATTAGTTTTGTTCAAAGTGATGGGAGAAGGTTGCACCTTTTCTGTTACAGTAAAACTGTTAATTTGTCGATATTGTGCACATTGAAGCAAAAGGAACAGTTAGAATTCTATTTACTTTATAATTAAAATATTGTTTTGTTGTTTTGTTGTGGATAAACGATTCACTAAAAGTAATTACCTGTTGTTAAATTTAATATTAATTTAACATGAAAAACCTAAAAAACTACCTAAAATACGATAATATAGTTGTGTTTGTTTTTGATAATCGTATTACATTAGCGATATATAAGTTCTTTTTGGGAAAATTTCTGTGCTTTGGCTTTTTTGTATTGAAAATTTGACAATTTAATATTGCACTCGTTGACATACTTCAAAAGTCGGGGCTTAACTCGAGCAACAACTTTTTTGTCAAACTTCGAGTTAAGCCCTGGGGCTTAACTCGAATAACCTAAATCGTGTTTCGTTCTTCGAGTTAAACCCTTTTTGAAAAAGGGCGTGGTCTTGGCAAAACAGGGCGTGGTCGGGGCTTAACTCGAAAAGGGCTTAACTCGAGGGGCTTAACTCGAAGGGCTTAACTCGAAGATTCCCGACCTCGAACGAAACACGATTTGGGTTATTCGAGTTAAGCCCCGGGGCTTAACTCGAAGTTTGACAAAAAGGTTGTTGCTCGAGTTAAGCCCCGACTTTTGAAGTATGTCAACGAGTGCAATATTAAATTGTCAAATTTTCAATACAAAAAAGCCAAAGGCAAAGCACAGAAATTTTCCCAAAAAGAACTTGTATATCGCTAATGTAATATGATTATCTAAAACAATCACAACTATTATCGTTAACAATATTTTTGGTTTTTCATATTTAAATTAATATTAAATTTAACAACACTCAACAGGTAATTACTTTTAGTGGATCGTTTATCCACAACAAAACAACAAAACAATATTTTAATTATAAAGTAGATAGAATCCTAACTCGTTCCTTTTGTTTGAATGTGCACAATATCGACAAATTAACAGTTTGAATGTAACAAAAAAGGTGCAACCTTCTCCCATCACCTTGAACAAAACTAATCTATTAAGAAAATGATCGAAAATGACAGCACATAATAACTAAAGAAAAAGAGAGGAAAGGGAAGGAATTTCGGTATAGAATGATCTGTCTTTGACAACAACGCCTCATACGCACATGTACAGCAATTTTATTAGCCAAATGAATGGTCGGTTTCATTTGTGTAAACAAATTATCACGGGGAGAAATTGTTACATTTGAGTAAAATACCCAAATGTAACAATTTATCCCCGTAATAATGGCGCTACGTCACCATTTCGTTTATAAAATTACTAATCGCTCAGCAAATATTCCCTTTTTAATAATACAAGTCGACGTAGCGCCATTATTACGGGGATAAATTGTTACATTTGGGTATGTTACTCAAATGTAACAATTTCTCCCCGTGATAATTTGTTTACCCAAATGAAACCATTCGTGCTTCGTAACCATTTGGCTAATAAAATGACTGTACATGTGCGTATGAGGCGCGAGTCTCTGGGCGCAAGTTGTCAAAGACTGCAGATCATTCTATACCGAAATTCCTTCCCTTTCCTCCATTTTTCTTTAGTTTTTACATGCTGTCATTTTTGATCATTTTCTTAATAGATTAGTTTTATTTGGGAGAAGGTTGCACCTTTTCTGTTACAGTAAACTGTTAATTTTTTATTGTGCACATTGAAGCAAAAGGAACGTTCGAGTTAGGATTCTATCTATTTTATAATTAAAATATTGTTTTGTTGTTTTGTTGTGGATAAACGATTCACTAAATTAAAAGTAATTACCTGTTGTTAAATTTAATATCAGTTTAATATGAACAACCTAAAATATACCTAAAATACGATAATAGTTGTGTTTGTTTTTGATAATCGTATTACGTCAGCGATATACAAGTTCTTTTGGGGAAAATTTCTGTGCTTTGGCTTTTTTGTAATGAAAATTTGACAATTTAATATTGCACTCGTTGACATACTTCAAAAGTTGGGGCTTAACTCGAGCAACAACTTTTTTTGTCAAACTTCGAGTTAAGCCCCGGGGCTTAACTCGAATAACCCAAATCGTGTTTCGTTCTTCGAGTTAAGCCCTTTTTGAAAAAGGGCGTGGTCTTGGCAAAACAGGGCGTGGTCGGGGCTTAACTCGAAAAGGGCTTAACTCGAGGGGCTTAACTCGAAGGGCTTAACTCGAAGATTCCCGACCTCAGCTGTAAGCATGCGCATTGCGCTGCCAAATCGTATAACATTATCCACAAATGTCAATAGAAAGTATCTAAATATCATGGAATGTACACATTTATCAAGGAGCCTGTTTGTGACACTGACGACAACCGACAACAGACTCAGGCATTTTTAGACTCCGCACTGCGCATATGCGCAGGCGGAGTAATAAGCCATTTGTTCACATTTGCAAGGTCATGATTAAGGTGATAATTTATGTCGTCAATATTGTTACTTGCAAATGTTGAATTGGTATTATCCGCGTTCATTCGTGCCTGGGAGTGCTCAAGGCAATTTGGTAAGTCATTTATATACAGTAAAAATAGCAATGGTCCTAAAATAGTCCCTTATGGAATACCACAGACTAACGTACGATTGTTAGAAAGGTGACCATTAACATAGCATGTTTGACTGCGGTCACTTTATTAGGGACCGGTCATTATTTATGGAAGGGGGGGAGGGAAAAATGAGGGGGCATATGTATAAATAAATGACTAGAAGGGGGGGCTATTAAATTTTCTCAAGGAAATGAGGGGGGGGGGGTGCAATTAAATTTGAAGGAATTTGCTTAATAAGCATGGTATCCATTTGGTTGTAATTGCGACTAAATCATGGTCACTGATGTGAAATAGTCTGGATTTATCTTGTCTTCTGTGTGCTGTATGCAAATCAGTCTTTACTGATTGCAGAGATAAATTAACAATGTATTATTACATCAGCTATCTTGATGTGGTTAAATACATTTAAGTAAGGTTAAAGGCAAATGTATTATGCAGGCCACATCCACTGAGGGGAGTCTGTGACGTCATATCGATTAAAGGGGGTTGTTTCGCGCCTTGTGATCAGTGCTTCGGTCTGGGTATTCATTCTGCCATTGTATGCTTTGCCTAGCTGCAGCAAGTTTAGCGCTTAGATACATTTTCCCTACCCACCCACCCATGTTTATTCTAGAGGATTTTATCTGGCAGTATGTCATTTTATTTTATATAATTTTTAATCTCACATAAAATAGGATGTATAGAGCACCATACATTATATTTCGTTTCCACTGACTTGTCAGTGTGATTGGTGCCGGAGGTATGCCTTGGCAGAATGTCCAGAATTGTCATGGCTATCTCCTTTTGCTGCTAATATTACTGATTGTTACTCTCATTGCATGCTACGCAGCTGCTATAGCAATACTTCGTTCCATCAAATCTAGTTACAGCCTTGGACCACAAACGGCACCTGGCTCCAAACACTAATATTAATTCTCTGCCGTTAAACATGGTTACAATCGCCCAAGCCAAATGGAAACCTGATTTTAGACTTATATATATATGAAAATACCCCTCTTTTAATTATAATTTTCTGCTAATATATATTTTTGGTCGACGTTAATATTTTGTCAGCTCCATATTCTTATTTAATTAATAATTAGCATTATAACGCCTGGGTATCCCCATTTGTCGAGTAAAAATGAAAATTGGGAGGGGGGGGTCAAAGAAAAATATTCTAATATGTGGGGTGGGTCATCATTAATTTTCTGCTCTTTTAAGGGCGGGCTTTCAATTTTAAAAATTTAGGAATAAAAAAATTCCCCTCCCCCCTTCCATAAATAATGACCGGTTCCTTAGATAGGACTTAAACCAATTACCCACAGCACCTCCAAGACCGTACGAATTCAGTTTTGATAGTAAATTTCCATGGTTAACTGCAGTGTCAAACGCTTTCTTAAGATCTAGGAAAACTACAGCATTAACTCGGCCTTGGTCAATGTTGTATGCCCAGTTATTGGTGGACTCAAAAAGCGCGGTGACAGTTGAATGTAGACATCGAAACCCTGCCTGGCTATTACATAGTAAATTGTTGTCAGTAAGAAAGGCATAGATTTGATCATAAATAATTCGCTCAAAAACCTTCGCTACAACAGGGATTATCAAAATTGGACGATAATTATTCAAGTCCCTACGCTCACCGTGTTTAAATAATGGAATGACTTTTGAACATTTCCATTCATCAGGAAAGATACCGGTATTGAGCAGTTGAAAATTACGGTAAGGGATTTCGACAGTAGGTCAGGACGGTAGCGAAGAAGCTTAGCAGATATTTTATCTAGGCCAGTTGCTTTAGATTTTACAGAGCTTGTCCAAAAGTGAACAAACCATTGATGAAGTTGTCGACTTCAACTCAAAAGTATTACCACTAATATGGCAATTAAGATATTCTAAATATGAGCAGTTATTTTCATCACAAGTTATCTTCTCCATAAGCTTAGGTCCAATGCTAGCAAAATGAGTGTTAAACGTCTCTGATAACCCCCGGGGGGGGGGGGGGGGGTCATTAACTGAAGAACCATTTAGTTTAATCTCTTTTACATGTGAATTATTTTGTTTTCTTGAGGTTAATTCATTAATAATACCCCAAGTTTTTTTCACATTACTCTCGTTTTCATGAAAAGCATTCCTAAATGGGCTCTCTTCGCAAATTTAATTTCATTGTTCACAGAGTTGCGAGCTTTCTTAAAAGCAGCCCAGTCATAAATATCTTTAGATCGAATAGCCTTGATTTTTAAAATATCTCTTTCATGCATATGTTTTTTTAACCCAGGCGTGATCCAGGGCGACTTAGAAAGTCTTACCGCCTTGTCCGTAAAGGAGCATGCATTTCCACTACGTTATTAAAGGTCGTTTTCCACACACGCCACATATCATGCGGATTGTTATACGCCCTTATGACGTCCCAATTCTGTGAAAAAATATCACTTAGAAAACTTTCAGATTTAAAATTTTTAAATTTTCGATAATTTACTGTAGAATGGCCTTTATTGTGTAGACCGGTTGAAAGCTTACGGAATGCATATATTAAGCTGTGATCACTAATACCGACATGAGAAACACCGGAGCAAACAATTTTATCTGGTGTATTAGTGAATATAATTATGATCAATCATAGTTGAGGAAGTTTCAGTAATTCGAGTCGGTTCACTTATCAATTGATGTAAACCATAGAGCTCAGTGATGCCTATTAATGATCTCGAATTACTCTCTAAATCAGGCGACCCGAGATCACAATTTAGGTCATCCAATAAATAGTACTCGATATTTTCAGCATCAAGCATGTCAATAAATGTCTCAAAATAATTAAATTTATCAACATTCGAATTTGGTGGCCTGTACCATGTCGCAACAAGAAATGGCTGAGAATTTGGTTTTTGAATTTGAATACATAGATTTTCTAAATCATCAATAGACATGTCTTTACGCTGTATGAAATTTACGCTGAAGCTAGCGTACATAAAAACAAACACCTCACACCCTGCACTTCTAAATGCCCTGGCACGACGTATGATTTCGTATCCAGGTATATATACATCGTTATCGCTTATTGTAGAATTAAGCCATGTCTCATTTATTGTTAGGACATCGATCGGGCTAGTAGCAAGCAAAATTCGCACTTCATCAATATGATTTACTAGGCTTCTCACATTAAGTGCCGCGAGCTTAAACCCGCACGAGGTAGGAATAACGGACTGAGTAAGATAAAGTCAATCTAAAATAGTTTTTGCAAAACCTAGTAAGTTTTGTTGTAAAGCTAAACTACCTTGTCTATTTAAATGAAGACCCCTCATGTTTAAGTGACTTGCATTCATATTTGAATTACTTAAATTAGTTTGAATAGCTTTAGCAACTAGGTCATTATTGTCATTTCTTACCAGAATAGCTGAAATGTCAACGGCTGTACCTGGTGAATCTTCTTTTATTTGTGTTACAATGTTGACAATGGAGTCTGCTATTATTTTCGGCGTAGAATGACTTCTCAGGTCATTTGTTCCGACGTGTAAAATCATCTTGTCCGGTGTCCTTCTTGTCAATGGCTTGACAAAATCCTCCATATCTGAGACTGTTGCTCCAGGGAACGGCTTTACAATAAAATGGTGATTAGGATCGTCAGCACTCATTTTCGGACCAACAGTATTTTTAACAATTGAGTCCCCTGCAATAACAACTGTTTTCTTGCCTTGCCCCGTTGATTTAGAACTAGAGGTGTTCACAATACCACCAGAAGTATCTACATCCGCAGTTTGTTGGCTGGGATTTTGTGTTGGAGGTTTGGACTTAGATTTCTTTCCCTTCTTTTTACGATTTTTCCCAGTACTAGCTTCGGTGTTAAGATGCTTATCGTTTGCGGGCTGATTAGATGAAGGTTTTGGTTGAGTGACTTCACTTCCCTCTATTGTTTCGTAAACCAATTCCACATTATTCTCGCCGTCATTTTCCACAATTGTTTTCGTGCACGTTTGTTGGTACCCTGGTTGCCAGAGGTTCTGTATCTTTCGCCTTATTCCCGCTCGTATTTATTTTACGCGAGGCGAAGAGAACTTCTGGTGGCACGCGATACAAATCTCTCTTCCATGCTGACGTTGCTGTTTGAGAACTTGCAAAATCGGTTTTATATTTTGTGACGTTTTTAAACTTCCAGGTTTGTCATACTACCAAAATAGCTCTCTTCAGACTGTTTGGCAGCCTTGTGTAAAATATTTAAAACTAGAAGTTGCTATCGCAAGGAAAATGCTGCCTCACCCCCAAGGGATTGGCACCATGCGCAATTTGCTGAATAAGGGTCTGTTTATACGATCCCGCTTCGCCAGGACGAAATATGAGGCAGGATGATTTCGATGTATTGAAATGAGTCACAGTGCACAATTCAGCAAAAAACATTACTTTTCTAGAGATAGATTATAGTTACTGTAAACGAAAGGTTGTTCAAGCAGCAATTATAATCTTTTTGAACTACAAGATCTTGTCTACAATATTTGAGTTCTGCTAACAAGCATTTGAACTTTTGTTTAGCCTAGTGATTATTTCACTCAGCCCGGTATGATATTTCAGCCCGGGTTGACTATAAACATAGCTCTGACTAAACTCAGTCCGGGCTCAAACTGCTCATGTAATCGTGATGCAATTTCAGCTCATTTTAATAACCCGGCTAAAACTCAGCCCGGGCTGAAACTCAGCCCGGGCTGAAAACTCTCCATGTAATCAGCCCCTAAGATTGTACTCAGTCAGAACTGCAAAACTATATAATACGATTGTGAGCATTATCAAAAAATATAGTATACTCTGTCTCTGAGTACTGTAGTGACAGCCAGGTGAATATATAAATGTAGGCTGGTAGGATTATTTCATATTATGCTATTAAAGAATGGACATATCTCAGAGATACATTTTTACAGACCGTCATACCTTTTACAAACGTCGGTTGACATGTTATTTACATGTAACTGCTGGTAAGTTAATATGTGCAGACAACAATCCACACTAGCTAGGTTGCTATAGGACTATCTTTGTGCAAGATAGACAATTTTACGATACTGCTCAATGCCTCAATTGATATTGCCAAAATAACAATAACAATAATAAACTCTATCTGTGATTATTTATCCCTTAGAAGTACGATGTTCCATCAAGCCTACGATCAAGCTCAATCAGATTTTTTACAAACTGATATAAAATATCGACGAAGTCCACTTGTTTACTATGAAGACTTGTATGCACCTAAAAATGTAATAATTTAAAAACAGTTAATTCATTCGCTTCAAGTTTCAACGCGTATCGACCAATACACATTGTTATTTGTGATCAAACTTTCATCTTACCTTGAAAAGAATTTTATTTAACAGTCAGAGTCCATTTGCGATGAGACTATGCCATTATACAGAGGCCATTATGCGTACATGTAACGTGTTTACAAATTGTCATTGTCCATGGTGGTGTTCGCGAGGTTCAACCGGGATATTCGGAAAGTCAAATCGCGATCTGGAGTATGTTATTTTTTAAAATTTCTGTGACGTCAAAATACGTCATAAATCTGATCATCCGTACAAACATTCGTACATGCAAATAAAATCGAGTTGTCCCTCGGCTATACATAACTCGGCCAACCGGAAACGGACTGGTGCGAGAAAAACACATCGTCAAGAATAGGTGGCTGCCTACGGCAGCAATAAGCAGGCCAAACATGTAGATTATTTATTAGAAACATGTAGATTATTCTCGCAACGCACAAAGCAAAAAGCAACCTTACTGATTGTGGATTGCCGTTTGTATTAGCGAACGTATAAAGTCAAAAGTGAAAGAATATAAACATAAATATTTATGCATACATGTATGTGTGCAACGGAGCCAGTATGGTTGTCCTTATAACAGACAACGGAAAAATATTGGCAAAATAAATCATATTAATAACTATTAAAGTCAAAAAATTACCAAAATTTAAAACCTTGAACGATAAGCAAGTGACCAAAACTTGATTTTACAAATATTACTACTGTATAGAGTGAACATGTCATGCCGCGATGGCAGCTCTTCTCCAGCGCAGAAAATATTTTTATAGCGGAACTAAGTTAATCTCAAATAACCCACACTGAGTAAGCATTTTAAATTTAATACGTTCGTATTATTTCTGTATCTTGTTTACATCATGTAGTCTAGGACCTGTATATGAGTTTGTATGCATTTCATTTAGGACAGATAATCTCAACTGTTTTAGGGCAAGTTGACCATGACGGTCAACATGGTAACGCTGCCCGAACCCCAATCCGGGACGAAACGTCCGAAACTGACCACACCCAAAAACGACGCTCTCGCCATGCTGCTATCTACCAAACCATAAAAGCTTTGGCTATTCTGAGGTAGTTACATGGTTCAGCGATGGTACTATTGGGGGTGGTCATTGGTAAGTGTGAAATGCCTAGCACTAATATTTCACATGAAAATGGTCATGCAATAATCATAGTTAAACGTCAATTTGTGGCTTGCAAATTCAGATAAATAGCAGTGGACTTACATTACCTTTTTCCCTAAATCTTTTTGATAGAAACATAAATGGTACTTATTTAAATATATTATCACTGGTTTGGTGTAAAATAGTTAATATTTTCTGACCGAAATAATAATTTGAAATGTGCCTACCTCCTGCAAATGGACATATTTGGCCAAGTTCTCCACTTTACTCCACTGTTTATCGGCGATCTCGTCGATATCCTACAAAAAATGTAAATCATCTCAGACATAATGGTATCGAGAACATTTTAAACAAGTTTCAACTTGGTTTTAAGTAGATCATACCTGTTTAACCATCGACAAGGTAAATCCACAACTTTGTCCAAATTCGGCGCCATTTTGTCATCCCATGTCGCTTGTTAACAATTCAGGGTTATTACTCTTCCATCCAAGCCATTTCCATTCCACTAATAATAAATTTAACCCTTTATAACAGGAGGAAACTAAAAAATCTAAACAAAATATAAGAAATTCGCCATTTTATCACCCTATAAAATTTCGCTCACGAGTCTTTCAAAACATTCCGTACAAATCTCGCGTGGTTTAGCAACAGAGACTTGGCAGGGGGGGGGGGGTAGAGATTTGAAAAATGAAAGCCCATACAGTATGGTAAAACCAACAATCAACATATAATTTGTATGACTTTTCATATTAATAAATAATAATATGTATATATTTGTCGCTACAAGAAATAAAACAAACATTTGTATGATTGTATTTAGCTTTTAGTCTATTTCACGCAGCCTTCTTCTATCTTCGTGAAATAATTCACCCCCTCCTGTCACGTCCCTGTTGCTTTGTCACGCGATATTTGTACGGAATGTATTGAAAGACTCGTGAGCAAAATTTTACATGGTGATAAAATGGCGTATTTCTTATATTTTGTTTAGATTTTTTAGTTTCCTCCTGTTATAAAGGGTTAAATTT